AGTAACATCTAAAAAACTTTATTTTTATTTCATGAGACCCTTGATCCTGTGTCCTTGTTATCTCAGCCAAAGTTCAATTTCTTTCTTCATAGTTAATTCTTCAGAGGTAACATCGTCTCCACGATCTGTTCTCTGTGTTCTTGGTATTCGGAAACAGCCAAGGACATAGATTTTACGTTTGAAATGTTGGTCCTGATCTTACATTAAAAACAAAATGGAGACATTCACATTCCCAATCATTTCAATTGCAGTTGCTAGGCTGGAACAACTAGCTAATAATCTCTGCTAATGGGTGCTCAGGTACAGAAACAAACAAATAAAAAACTCCAATAATTGCCTCGATCGATCGAACTACAGAAAGCAATCAGCTAAACCTCAGAAATCCTTGAGAACTGCGTAGCCGCCATTCCAAAACATAAAGAGCAATGTCTGTTCGACTAAACCACTTGTAGTTTAATTGGACTTTACAAAGAGAGATTTTATTTAAATATTTTTTCAAGGAAGCTGTGAATTTTTGAAACATGGAGATGTTTGAGTGATTAGGTGCCACAAAGACTCATCTGTTCTACTGGAAAGGCCGTTAACCTCTGTCAAATGCAGTCTAAAACAAAATGGGGTCAGGTGTGCGCAGTGCGACTCCAGGTGGCCAAAGCAATCTGGACACATCTGTCCATCATCCCGGAAAATCTGACAGGTCTGTGCGCAGAAAACCTTCACAATCATTTGTCCAGTGGTGTTAGTCTAAATCATATTTTAGAATAAAGTGTCAGCCACCTAGACACACATACATATATTTGTGCCACACACGCACATTCACACATGTTGGAGGTGATGATGAAGTCTTTGATGGCCATCTGGCTAAGAATGAGTGTGATGTGTATGTGGAGGAAATGGGACGTGTCAAGGTGGATGTGTGGGATTTAGGGGGACAGCGGCTTGCACACTCCATTAATTTTAAGTTTAATCATTTCCATTTTCCTCCCTCACTCAGCCTTTGTTTTCCTCACTTGCATCATGTCAACTCCCTTATGTGTTTCTCCACCTTCTGCCATCCTCTTTACTCCAGTGCATCATTCATCTTTTTCATTCATTCATGGAATGATTTGTTATGATAACCAGGAGCTGGAGTAACAGAAAGAGAGATCAATATCAAATTTAAATGTACAGTTCACCCAAAAATAAAAATGTACACACTATTTATTGACCCTTAAGTGGTTCCAAACCTTTTTAAGAGTTTCTTTCTTCTACTGAACACTAAAGAAGATACTATGAAGAAAGCTGGAAACCTGTAATTATTGATTCCACAGTATAACATGGAAGTTGTTGGGAAAAAGGAATTATAAAGGAATTTTTTTAACATAATTTTGTCTCTTTTTCTTTTCTTTAAACAAATTTATTTGTATTGCTTAAAGGTGATATATAAACTGAACTTCTGTAAGAGTGTGATATGCTTTGCATACAAATTAAGCATGTTTTGCAGAAGTAGATGGAGCTGATAGAGATGCAAAGGCCTGGTTGTCTTAAATTAAATTGAGCTCTGCAGCTAAACTTACTTTCTGCAGAAATGTGTTGACACTGAACACAAAATATATGTGCAGTTGAGAAAGGCTTATGCTTTTAATGTTGTGTAGAGAATTTGAAGAAAAAGAGGACGTATGTATGGGTGTGGCCAATGGAGGACTGGAGAGTGATTGACAAGTGATGAATTTCACTAAACTCCACCTGCTAATTTCAGCTACCTATATTATTTGAAGTCAGGAAATGAAAACCATGTGCACTCCTTAATGCGACTCTTGCATTGCATTGAAAATACCAAAATTCTTTGAATAGGATTATTCATTTGTATTAAATAAATTATTAATATGTCAAACCTTGAAAAAAAAACTTTCCTTACTTTTTTTATTGAACATGTATGTGATTGACTAAATATTCCAACAAAGTCAATGGTTACAGGTTACAATATCTTCTTTAGTGTTTAACAGAAGAAAGTCATAAAAAGGTTTGGAACAAGTAAAGGGAGGGTAAATGATGACCTACAGCAGTGTTTCTCAACCACGTTCGTGGTGGACCACCAGCTCTGCACTTTTTTTCCATGGCTGTTTCTCAATTTGCATTCTTCAGCGATCTTGCATCCTCGTGTTCTCATGTAATGTTATCATCAACCACCAAAGTTCAGTTCCAAAACACAAGACCGTAAGAACGGAGGAACTTCAGAAAGACCAGGAAGATAAATATGATATTGAATTAGAGGATGCACCGATGCAAACTTGAGCACAAAACTCACTTGAGAAGTTCCAGAAGTCATTGCGGCTGAATAAAGGAGGTGGGGAGCGCAGCATTCTATACCTGTTTACTATAGGAGTTCAGAGAAATAACTCCTTTACTGTATCTCAGGAGTTTCCCTAAATGAGACGGTGAAAGTAAACATTACCATGAAAATCTTAAAAGAGGCATTAACACATTAAGGGTGTTTGTTTGCTGAAATTCATATTAAAATCTGTTTTATTTGCATTCTGCAAAGTATATTTGTGAGGCTGAAATAAGGAAAAACAATAAATGGTTGTATGCATGGTGTAATGTTTAAATTATTTTCCATTTAAAATGCGTGAAGGTCATGTGACCATCAGGAAGAACGCAACATCTAATTTCTTGTAGGATGCATTCTCTGTTCTCGGGGTCTCCCAAGTTTGTTCTTCTGGGGTAACCTGGCAAGAGCGGTCTTCACAAGAACACAAGTCCCTTCTCTGCTTTCTTAGAATTGACATACAGCCCATATCTCCCTAACCAAAGACACTTGATTCAGGTAATCAGCTTAATAGATGTGACAGGCAAAGGAGACATTCAAAACATGCAGTGCTGGTGGTCCTCCAGCAATGTGGTTGAGAACTACTGATTTACAGTATCTATCTGTCTATCTGTTTTCTGTTACTAGATTTGACCTAACACATAATCGAATTAAAACTGCAGCTGGAATTGCTAACCATCTTAGCTCTGAACAGGGTACTCATCAGTCTTAGCATATGTGTTTTGAGATTTAAGAGAATTTGCACTGAAAGACCCAAACATCTCATCAGCAGAAAGAAAAAAAGGCTGGACTAACTGTTGCTGTGAAGTCTTATTGGAGGATCTTTTCTGCAGCTGAACTTGGGTCTAAATGGTAACATGAATGCAAATTCCTCATATAAACTATATTTATATAGCAACTCACTGCAACCAAGGGACAGCCCAAAGTGCTTTACAACAATAAAACAAAGTTACACATTAAGACTAGTAAAGTCCTGTGAGAGACTACTGGATGTGAGCTGCCGTAGAAACTTAAACCAAGCATCTGAACAAAAATGACACATTTTTTGACTAAAAATGTAACCTTCAGACATTTTCAACACAGGCTCATTGTGAAAACGTCCCCACGTATACATTTCTTGAGAATGCAAATTATGTAGCCACACAGTAAAAAAAAATCCTTAATTTTACGGTTTAGCTGGCAGTTGGGGTGCCGGAAATTTCTTTTTAAATAACGGCCGTTAAAGGGCCATGAAACCCTCTCGTTTCAGCAGGGTGTTTTCACACCTCTACTTTGGAAAAAGTCAGAAAAGTGGGCGTGTCCAGCTCTGTTTAGGGGGGAGTGTCAGAGGAACTAAAGAGGCATGGTGTGGGAGTGTCTATTTGGGCACACGCTGAGTTTCAGAGTCAAAACACACACACACACACACACAGGGGAGAAAGTGACTGTGTTTACTTGGACATCTGTAGTCGAATTATTTGCCAAATTATTAAATGGTGGACTTTAACTGCAGTTTGGCTCTTTCATTCAGGGAATTCATTCCTGCCCCTCGCGACAAACGAGATATTTGATTCGAGGAACTGCTCTAAGCCTGTATTTTTCATGCAATGTTTGATACCGCACGGCGAATGAAAGAATTAAAACCCTCCGCATTTCCCGGAAACTTAGATGCACACGGCAGGTAGTGTCAGAAAGCCGCGTGTGTTATTCCGGTCATAAAATGCGGTGAAAATCCTACACGAGGTTAAAGTTTGGTTGTAGTGCTAACATGTTTACACTCAACAAGTTGCAATAGTTAGTTCGATATGAACAAACTGAATAAGCAAAGAGCACTGGTCACTCTCTTACCAAATCTGTAGAGACAGGACAATCGCCAGCAACTAGAGCCGCGACTTTATTAAGAGGAGACTACAAGCCAATCCGGATCTCAGCATTTGCAGATGAGAACAGCTCTCAGGTAAACAATAATCCTCCTTAGACACGTAAGTTATGGTTGTCGCGCGTCGCGTACACTGTAATCCACACGTGACGCCAGCTGCGCTCTCACAGAGAGAAAATGAAAACAAAACTTAACTGCAGCAAACTATAAAAGCAACACTTCACGCTTGTTTTGCCAACACAACGTGGCGTCTCTGCCGTCTAAACACTGTGAAGTAATGAATATTAATGAAGTTACAATAGAGTGCGCTGATTGGTTTGAACCAAGCTTTACACATGCATTAATGCAGCACACTCTGAGACGTAATAACACACGCTGGAATACATGCTATTATCTCATGGCCGTGACGCAGCTTCAAAAATTAGTTTTAAACCGGAAGTACAAATTTGCTTGAAATAACGCAAAAACAACCAATTTATACTTTTTAATAAAATATATGTGTCCTAATAGTGTTTTTAGCAGTGTGGGACACATATACGACTGTCAACAGCTCAAAACATGTGTTTTGGTGTTTCAAGACCCTTTAAATTTACTGTAAAATAATGGACATGAAATTACAGAAATTTTCTTAAATTTAAATTTCTGTAAATCAACCTCTGTTATTTTACAGTAAATTTTTGTCATTTAACTGCCATTATTTTATGATTTATTTTCATCACCGCTTTTCTTACAGTGGATTTTTTTACAGTGCAGAGCAACTGTAAGATTCCCCTAAATTAGGCACCAGATTCAGCAAAGTTCATCAGGTCGACCCGGAGACATGAGAAGAGACCAAACTGTAGTTAGAATGGTTTATTCTGCAAGCCCAACACACACAGGATGAGCAGGGATAGATATACATAGTGGGCTGACCTTTAAAAGTTACACAACGGAAGGAAGACACTCTTAATATGGGCATACTATACAAGCAACATAAAGAGGAAATGTATAGCGCGGGACTTTTCACTGGGGGAGCAGCCTGCAAGATTGAAACCAGACGTTGACCTTCAGACCTCCGATGCACACACACACAAAAAACCACAGACACTTCTGCTTCTCATGCAAGCACACTTAAAAGAGGACAAAATGTTCTCTCAGTCCCCTCTTTTAGGCCAAAGGCCTAACACAGAGGAATCTTATCATATCGTTGACCCATCATACTGTCCATTGTGGCATAGATTCGATTCATTAAACATTGCAAGAGAAAAGGACCACAACAACAAATAAGAAGGAAAATAATACATACAGGAATTATCATAGTAAGGAAAGGAGTCACCCAGCCGAACAGACCCATCATCCAACCCCAAGTTGTGTCGGGAACATAATCTGAAGTCATGGCAATTTTTAACCCTTGGAGAGTAGACATAGCAGTACTCATTTACATACCCCCCCCCCTGGGATGCTGTTAAGAGATCTAGAGCCATTCTATTTTGCAAAACCATGGTACGTAGATTACCCAGCTCCTTATTCTGGGCCTCATTAATTATTTTTTTTGAGGCATTCAGAAATAGGCCCATGCGATAGTCCAGGGTCTCAATTCTTAGTAGAGCTTTTCCCACACCTATTTGCGGAAATAGAGCCAATACCATTTTACTACCAGTGGTCCATAATTTGAAATCCTCGGGCACGTCAGTACCCCATACAGAGTCATGGGGCTTCATTTCAGGGACACTGCGTTTAACTCTTCGCTGCGCTGACAGGACCTGGGCTGTCACAATAAAAGTGTGATCAGTCACATGCACAGGGGCACACTGCCCCGTCCAGTTGGCCGGTAGGGACATGTAGGCGTTTTTCCCACACAACCACCACCCACCCTGGACCACATAAGTGCCGTTTGAGGGTCCTGACACATAAACTGGGGCCCCTTCTCCCGAGGAGGCAATTTGTTGACAGTTAACAGTGCTTCCCATGAAATGAGAGCCCATGGTCTGGTTATAACACACAGGGTGTGTAATAGAATGGTTAATAAAAACCTTGTGGCTAATAGGTGAGGGTTTAGCATGGCCAAATTTTACCCAAAATAGAGCATCACATGTACCATTTCTAATGCCAATCCGGTATGGATCGTAGTCATCGACAATTATATATGGGTCCTGGTACCCTGATCCTGCAAAACTGGCAAAACATTTAGCAGAGGTCTTATTCATGGGTTTGGCATAAAGAGGGGTTTGTTTGGCTGAATGAGGCATAACAGAACATACATAACAACCAGATACATTATATGACCTAGCTAAAACTCATTTACATATTGATACCACATATTATTTCAATTGGATTGTCAGCCCCATCCTCTGCCCATCCAAATTCATGATCATGTGTCCAGCGTTTCAGCCTGGCTGCATTAGCTTGAGCAACAAGAAAGAGAAACAGTCCCAATGTCCATAGCCACTTCATGCTGATCCTTCTAGTAGTTATGCTGCGTGGAGGTGCTAGCTGATGTGGGGGCCCCCAAAGTATCTGTAAAACAAAGAGAGTCTGCAGACAGATTATCATTGTACAAAACTTATACATTTTTATTATTCAATAGGTGCTCGTTTTATCCTGGTTGCATGGATCCACTGTGTAGAAGAGGAGGTTAAAACGGCGGTTCTGGTTACAGCCACGACATCCGTCGGGGGCCATATTTGGGGTCCCCCAGTTCTGTGCTCATTTTATTGAACTGTCTAATCATTACTCTGTCACCAGCCTTAAATGGGTGTGTTGGGTCTACCGGCATCGGGGCTGAACCAGAATGTATGTTAGTCCAGTATGCATGCAATGTTGTTAGTAGCTGTTGTGCACATTCACTCATATGGATATCCAAAGAACCGTCACCCAGTGTGGTACCCCCTTGCCTCCATGGTGAGGGAAAGGGTCGTCCCATCACAGTCTCATAAGGAGACAGACCGTGAAGACTTTTGTGAGGAGACATCCTCATGTCTGCTAAAACGACAGGTAGCAAGGCGAGCCAATTTGAGTGCCCTGCATGTTGCATAGCCTTTCTTAATTTGTCCTTGATGGTCCTATTAGTTCGTTCTACTATACCAGATGATTGTGGATGGTAAGGAATATGTAGCTGCCAATTAATTTGTAATTCTTTAGCCAGATTTTGTATTACTTTCGCAGTAAATGAGGTTCCCTTATCTGAGTCTATGGCACATGGTATACCGTATCTTGTAATGATTTCTCTTGTCAAACATCTGACAACTGTATTAGCATCTTCTTTACTGCATGGGAAGGCTTCAACCCATTTTGAAAATTTGTCCACAAAAACCAATAAATATTTATTAGGACCCCTCTTTGGCAGATGTGTAAAATCTACCTGCCATTCCTGAAAAGGTGTTTCAGGGAGGGGCAATTGCTGATGTTGAGCTTGAGGTTTAGTGATATTATTTTGAGCACATATCAAACATCTATCTAGCGTGTTATGGTGCTGTAAATTATTAATGCATAAAAAGGAACTCATTGTGTCTATTAACTCATTGTGTCTATTAACTCATTGTGTCTATTAACTCATTGTGTCTATTACCCCTCTTCGGCCGCGGTGTGTAACACCGTGAAACTCGCGGACGAGAAAAGGTGCACAGGATGATGGCAGGCATAAACGGCCTTTGCCATCTAGCATTATTCCATTAGGATCAGTTGTGGCGTCACATTCAGACCAGTAAGTATGGTACTATGTATTTAGTAAGCTGCTGTTTTAGATGTATTAGGAGCTCCTCCTGATCATCTTTCCACGCGAGGCGTGTTTTTATACGAGTACGTGTCTTTTTATCATCTGTTTCTTCCTTAACAGTTTCTGTGTGTACTATATCATGCTTGGGATCAAGAGCAGGTATTTTTTCTATTATTTCGTCATCGTCATAGGACAAACCCATTTTGATTTGAAGGATAAATCGATAATCTGCCCCAATTAGTTGGCAGTGACGCGAGCTGCGCAACAGCATGTCTACAAATTGCAGTGGTTTGTCCACTTCTGGTAAAAGAGATATGAGGTCCTTCAGAACAGAGGGTGAGGGCGGAATTATCTCTATCCCTCGTGGTTTAGCAACCCATACAGCAGCCACATTAGAGGCTGAAGTAGTGCCCTCCGTGCTGTCGGAGGGGTCTGGTTTAGTTTTAATCATTTCTGTCAGTGACGGGTAAATAGAAGGCACTGTAGGAGAAGCACTTACAGAGCATGAAGCTGCAGGCGGAAGCCCCGTATAAGGGGGTGGTGATATCATAGTTGTCTTAGCAGCTGCGAGAGAGCCCCTCTTATCTGCCTTACGGGCAGTATTGCTTCTGCTTTTGGGTTTGGGGACAGATTTCAAAACGGTTTTAGGTGTAAAAATGCCCTTTTTATCTCTCCATATAGAGCTCATTGTATACCATGTGTCATATCCATTCATCATATACTGATCATTCCATTCTGGATCCCCATATCCTTCATACGTTAATTTATAGGCTGATTGGAGAAAACCTGGATCAAAGGTTCCTTCCCTGGGGAAGTTTCTCCACTGGGATTGTCCCTCTGTCCACCCAGCTAAGTTGGACAGCCAAGGTTCAGTGTAAAATCCCCAGCCACATCTATCCATCCATTGCTTTGGACTCTCACTGGGTTCTGGTTTTGGATATCCTTGTCCCATATTGCTGAAGCTGGTGCGTAATACTTATTTACTAAAATTTATTAAATCCCCTGATTTGTGGAACCCAAATTTAATTGGGTACAACAACACAAATCCTTCTGTGCAATTTACTGTTTGAAGTAAACTTGACAGGATAACAAGTGTCGAATTAATAAATTTCCCTGATTTGTGGAACCCAAATTTAATCGGGTACGACAACACAAATCCTTCTGCGCAACTTACTACCGCATAAGTAAGTGACAGGATACTCTGTGCCAGTAACACAGACGTCAGCTGCTTGTGGAACCCAAATTTAATCGGGTACAACAACACAAGTCTTACACAATCCCCTGAGATACACCAGAACAGGCAGTGTGAATAAAAATTCTCTTACCTGATCAGATGTATCCCGGACGAGCCCCCAGATCTGTAAGATTCCCCTAAATTAGGCACCAGATTCAGCAAAGTTCATCAGGTCGACCCGGAGACATGAGAAGAGACCAAACTGTAGTTAGAATGGTTTATTCTGCAAGCCCAACACACACAGGATGAGCAGGGATAGATATACATAGTGGGCTGACCTTTAAAAGTTACACAACGGAAGGAAGACACTCTTAATATGGGCATACTATACAAGCAACATAAAGAGGAAATGTATAGCGCGGGACTTTTCACTGGGGGAGCAGCCTGCAAGATTGAAACCAGACGTTGACCTTCAGACCTCCGATGCACACACACACAAAAAACCACAGACACTTCTGCTTCTCATGCAAGCACACTTAAAAGAGGACAAAATGTTCTCTCAGCAACGTACAGTATGGCTGCATATCATCTTTAAAATGAACGCTACAGGGCGGAACGATGCCGCTGACGGCTCCTGTTTCTTTTCATGCTACTGGCTGACCGCTTACCTCCATGTGGACGGCTTTTCCGCTGTTACCAGTTCGCTCAGTAGCTCGCCTTGTAAGTCATTGGACTTAAGACACAGAGAAGAGTTGACCATAATGATGGGATTCGCGTCCTGTGAAGAACAGTTCCAGACAGCAGGTAAAACTAAAGGCAAAAAAATAGAGCGAGAAATCGATTGGTCGGTGAGTAAACAGCAGCCTCTGGTGGATTTATGCGAGAACAGCAGGCACGAACGGCAATCGTGAAAGAAATTTGAGATCTAAAAAAAGTGTACACAGCAGCCTCTGATGGATTCGCGAAAAGAAAAACTGCGAATAAACATACCTCCTGGGACGAATTTCCTGATCTCCAAAAATGTATATAGGAGTACGTATCAATAATGAGTTGTATTTCATCGTGCCTCAACCCTTGCGGTTCTCTAATTTCAATGACAGTGTTCTTTTCTATTTCTTTTTTAACTTCTTATAATAAAGGTAAATATTGTGGAAAAAACTAAAATAAAATAGGTGGAAAAGTGTTAATGTAGTGCTTTAATTTTCTTTGGAAAAGAAAGAGAGAAAATGCAGATAAAGAAAAACAGATAACAAGAGAGGAAGATGCAGATCGCATGAAAATATACGTTGATTTGAATTGCACGCTCCTAAATTCATCTGTCAGGTTTCAGGCTCGTCAGAGAAATTACTCACCCTGCCCCTTCGTCCACCTCGCAGACTCGTCCTCCTCCGCTGGCATTTTCTCTTTCCTCACTTTCACACACACACACACACACACACACACACATATAAAGCGTGGAAATTTGTGTATGAAAGTGTGAAATGACTTGCAGCACACACACACACACCAGCACACAAGCATAAGTGAACAGGGAACCTGCCATTCTCACAGCAAACAGCACAAACACAGAGAAATGAACTTCAATCAACCCTGCAATTAGACTAACAGCACAAAACCTATTTTATATTTTTAAAAGACGTGAGTCGACCATTCCCGTGCACTGCCGTGAAGACAGATTGTTGTGTTGTAGCCAAGGTACAACGGTGTCTATAATATCTTAATTTCTGTAAATCTGATTAATCACCCAAGACATAAACTACATGAATCACATCCTTTACTCACAGCATCAAACATTTAAACAACTGTATTGTTTCCTAACATTCATTCATTTTTCTTACTAGGGTCGCCATATTGGAATGAACTGCCAACTATTCCGGCATATGTTTTATGCAGCACATGATCTTTCTGCTGCAACCCTTACACTCACATTCACACACACTCTCATCCATTTCAGACAATTTTATTACCCAGTTCACCTTAAGCAAATGTCTTTGGACTGTGGGGGAAACCAGAGCACATGAGGAGAACAGGGAGAACATGCAAACTCCACAGAGAAATGCCAACTGGTACAGCCGGGATTACAACCCGGGGTGGTGTTAAGAAGGAAAAAGGGAATTGTAATTTCTCAGTACACACCTTGAATTTGATGAATTCGTCCATCATCCGTCATCCCAAGACAAAGATTTTTTTTAATAAACTGCTGGCTAATTTTTAGAAATTACTCAGTTTTAAGGTCTCACAGCAAGAAGGTCACCGGTTCGAGCCCCGGCTGGGTCAGTTGGCATTTTCGTGTGGAGTTTGCATGTTCTCCCTGATTTCGCGTAGGTTTCCTCAGGGTGCTCCGGTGCACTATATGTGAATTAAACAAGCTAAATTGTCCTTAGTGTATGTGTGTGAATGAGTGTTTATGGATGTTTCCCAGTAATGGGTTGCAGCTGGAAGGGCATCTGCTGTGTAAAACATATGCTGGATAAGTTGCCGGTTCATTATGCTGTGGCGACCCCAGATTAATAAAGGGACTAAGCCGAAAAGATGAATGAATGAATGAATATTTTTAACACACTGAGAGAGAGAAATGTGAGTCATGGTTCACACATTTGTCTTTTAAACCAAAGACAACCCCATAAGTCTTTTAATTATGTTAAAGGTCAACTTGCAATTTTAAGGCCTCATCTCATTCACTCTTTGCATTTTTGTCTCTCGTAAGTAGGTATATAGTACTGTGACTATGCCGTACATAAATGATGGTATGTTTGATTTAAATACACAATGAAATGACCAAACATGGCAGCATTTTATGTATATTAAAAATCCTATGGAAACTAGATCCTCTAATGTTAATGTCAGAGGTGTGTGGGTTTACTCAGATACTCGATAGTGACATTCATCAGTAACTGATGGAAAATCTTTATCTGAGAATGACCTTTCAAATGCCATGCCTTTTAAATGAAAGTAAAATCATTTGCACTTTTTGTTTAGATGAATTGAATTATCATTAAAGCTCATTAAGAATAAAATATGAGTAAAAGCACTCAATGTAACGGTAGATTGATTTCTCTCTGTGTGTGTTAGGCTTGGGTGGTAATGCGGTAATATGGTATACCGCGGGATCTAAGAATAGCAACGGTGTCTGTTTCAATACCATTATACCGTCATAAAAACAATGCACTTAAATAGGAGACAAGTACTAAATAATAAATATTATTTACTTAATGCCTACAAATGTGAAACAGTGAGAAGAGAGAGAGAGGTGAGGTGAGAGTCGCGCACCAAGTGAGCTGCAGTTTGGCAGTATTTCCAGTTTCGACCGAACGAGAAGGAAGACGTGGTAAATACGAACTAGAGCTCTGCATTCCCGCTGCTGTACCGCGAGAGCCGATCAGATTTCTTGCGGTGCGGGAATAAATTCTGAATAAAGCGCGGGAGTGGTCACTATTTTGAAAGGGAGTGGGCGCGCGGTCTAACAATAAAGGCTTGTGACACTGTGTGTCGCTTGGTGCTCTCTCTATGTGTGTCTGTATGAATGAGAGAGAAAGCGTGCTGCTGTGTGTCCCTTGGTGCTGTCTCTCTGTGTGTGTGTGTGTGTGTGTGTGTAGTTATGTTTTTGACCAGTCACAATCAGTTTTACAGAGTAATAAATGTTATTGCATTAAAAAATATGTAAAATAAGGCCATTAAATTACAGAAATTTACTGTAAAATAACAGATAATAAATGACAGAAATTTACCAGAAATTTAAATTTAAGCAAATTTTTGTAATTTAATATCCATTATTTTACAGGTTTTTTCATGCACCTCAGCTGCTGAAAATAAATCGTAAAATTACCGATTTTTTTTAGTTTTTTTTACATACAGAAAAATATTTGTCTATGTAAAAGGTTTTCATTTTAAAAATTCTAAATGTTGACATGAGGGTGCTTTCACATCTGCCTTATTTAGTTCAATTGAATCGCACTAGAGTTCGTTTTCCCTTGATTTCTGTGCATTATGGGATATGGAGGAAAAATATTTGTTGACAGTGCTTTACCAACAGAGAGAGAGAGAGGGGAAAACATTACCTGATGGATCGTTGGCAGTATTTCCACAAGATGACCATGTCGCAGTTTAGCTTAATTAATTCACGCCTCCTCCTGAAGTGATGACTCTGTTTTCCAGCCGTGGCCGTGCTTCATTCTCGAAATGTTTAGTTTGTCTAAAGTGATGTACAAAAACTATATAGTATACTATGAGCAGGGATACAATCAGTCAGCGCAGTCGTCCCTCCAGAGTAAAAACGACATTTTGTGTCTGCCGGTTTTGTTTACTTGCGGGAGTTCATTGGCATTTTCCCGCATGTGAATTTTAACTAATCAATAAGGAACAATATTCAACAACATCTGGCCAATGAAAGATGTGGATTTTGTCAGATGACTGCATTTTGGTTTGTTTCAACTGGTTCGGACCAAAGCCAGCAGTGTGAAGTGAAAACAACCCAAAGACGGCAGAAAATGCAACAATGTATCATTTATTGCCCTTAGTCCAGACCAAATGAAGCAAACTACAGATGTTTTTCAAGCACCCTCTAAACTAACTAAAGGGGTTCCAGAACCCTGAAGAGGCCATAAAGGAGTGCCTAAATTTGGAAGCACTGTTGCCTCACAGCAAGAAGGTCATTGTGGTATAGGTGAACTGAATGAACTGAATTGACCGTAGAGTGTGTGAGTGTATATGGGTGTTTCCCAATACTGGGTTGTGACTGGAAAGGCATCCGCTTTGTAAAACATATGCTGGAGTGGTTGGCAGTTCATTCCACTGTGGCGACC